CTGGGGGTTGCCAGCCGGCATTGACTAGTTGTGCATTAGGCTAAAGATACTGCCAGGAGGCCATTAATTTCACCTCCATTCACCTGCTATCCGTAAAACATCTTGATGGAAGTCCCTACCCCAACTCTTTTTTCAGAGACATGAAAAATGCGTAAGCCTAGCTCAGTGATGGCGAACCTTTTAGAGACTTGAGTGCCCAAACTGCAACCCAAAACCCACTTATTTATCGCCGGGTGCCAGGTGGGCGTGGCCCACTGGGTGGGCGTGGCTGTGGTGGTCATGGCAGATTGGGTGGGTGTGGCCAAGGTGGGCATGGTCACCTCAATGTTGCTTGTGGGGAGGGATGCCTGTGGGGGGGCAGGGTTGGGGGAGATCCAGGGGGTCTCTGGTAGGTGGGGTGGTAGGTAGGAGGCTCATGCTGCGGAGTGAGGCATGGCAGGGCGGAGGTGCCATTGCCATGGGGCAAGGCAAGGGCCAGGGCGGCTGCTGCCTGGCACCATCGGCCCCCACATACAGAGGCCAGCAAGCGCATGGGGGCCGACGGTGTCCATCAGCAGCCACAGCCTACCGGCCCTTTGACTGGCGCAGCCCGCCAGCAGTTCAAAGAAGCCGCCTCTGAGATGGATGGGCGGCTGACAGCTAAGGAGGTGATGCAGTGGGTCGTGCCCGGGAAAAGGAGAGCATGCGAGGCCAGGAGAGACAGGATGGGGGGGGGGAGGAAAACTAGCTGTGCTGGGATGCATCTGGCCACGTGGGGCCTCGGCTAGTTAGCAGGCGGTGGTTGAAGAAGGACAGTTGCCATCTCCGGGGCATCGCGTGTGTGCAATAAGTATATCCCAAATTATAAAAATGAGAGAAAAATCCCATGAATGCCGTATACCAGTGGTTCTCAACCTTTTTAATGCCGCGACCCCCAACCGGTCGTAATCCGAGGACTACCCAACCGGTCGTAAGTCGAGGACTTTCCCTGCCTGGGAGTGCCGCGCATGCGTGGTTCCGCCCCCTGCGCTGGCCGAGGCATAGCTGGCAAGCGGCAGAGATGGAGCAGGCCGACCACAAGCTGGCCCAGCTCAAGGGAGGTAAGGCACCCGCCGGAAAAGGGGGAAAAAATGGCGGACAGCCTTGCTTGGCGACCCCTGTGAAATGGTCGATCGACCCCAAATGGGGTCGCGACCCATAGGTTGAGAACCGCTGCCGTATACGAAGACAATGATGCTATAATATTGTCTTAAAACGCTGAGGATGATTTGAACGCTGAATTCTGTCTGTATGCATTCCAGAGCATATTTTTAAAGAAGAAACCGATTTCTTAAAACATAAGATTAAACTTGTCTGGAAAGAAAATGCAATAATACAGGGGAGCTTATTTTTTAAAAAAGTATTTATTTTATGCCTCTGAGTTAACAGCAAAACTATACAGCTCTACAAAAAAAGGGTCCAAAGGTGCTGCTGAGCACTGGAAAAGTCAGAATTGAAGGCAAGTTCTTCTTTTATCCCAGCTCTTCCCGTGTCTTCCCCATTTTCTTGGGCAGTTTCTTGGCTGAGGCGTCTTCTAGTTCCTTGGCCTTGTAGTAGTGAGGGGCCACTTCCAGCAGCCATGTACTGTCAATTTCAATCACCTGCAGAAAACACAAGAGCAGCTCCAGCTAGGTTCTTTCTGATTTCAGCACTGCCTCTGGATACACAGATACATATTTAGATATTTAGATAGATATTTAGATATTTAGATATTTAGATATTTAGATAGATAGATAGATAGATAGATAGATAGATAGATAGATAGATAGATAGATAGATAGATAGATGATATGATATATGATATTATAGGCAGGCAGATGGATGGATGGATGATAGCTATTTCATATTCTTAACTGCCCATCTCCCTTGAAAAGGGCTCTGGGCGGTGTGCAATATCAATAAAATTAAACATTAAAAACAAAATAATTTAGGATAAAAATTTTTATAATTATAAACGCAACATTATAAAAGTTTCCAAAGGTGAAAAAGGTGATGGGGAGGTAGTAGTTAATACAGGTGGCGGGGGGGGTTTCTCATGAAGCCAGCCAGTCCCATGGTTATGTGAGTCTTTGTGCCCTTCCCCCAATGCAAGGCCACACAGCCAAGTTTTGACCCTTTGGGGAAGGTCAAAAATTGGGGGGCCTTCCTCACCTCTGAGGGCATGATGTTCCACAATGCAGGGGCAGCGGCAGAGAAAGCCCTCTTCCCAGCTCCTTCTAGTCTAAATTCTTTGACTGATATGGTTTTAGCATACCTTCCCTGTTCGAATGGGCAGGATGGGCTGATGTAATGGGGCAAAGCTGGTTCTGTAGCCGGTTTGACCTGCATGTTGGCTAGGTCAAAGGCGATGGAAATGCAAGCAAGTGTGATGCATCAGATGTAAGAATAAGGGTAACTGAACTGGCTGTAAAGGAAATCCAGAACTGCTGTTCCACAAAAGTCCCACTAATACCCAATTATTAAATCTCTCTTCCATCTCTTTTAATCATTTAATCCACTAATGAGAAGTCACCTCTGTCTTTACTATTGCAGCAATAACAATGTGAAGTGTATATAAAATACTGAGTTAGACCAGAACAGAACAGGCAGCTAAAACCACTGGAAAGGCAGAAAGCAAATTAATTTCATATTACACAAATCTCTTGTTTGACACTTCAGTAGGAAGCCTACAGTAAAATGCTACAAATTCACAAGCAAAGGATTCAGCTTCTCCTCTATTTCAATTGTCAAAAACTGATATTTTCTAATGCTTAAAGGCAACATTTTTAATTGACCTAAAGCACCTGCTATATTCACACATTGGTTTTCCTTTGAGCACAGGGTAACAATTTATCTCTGAGGAGAAGTTTTTTTCTTCAGAAAATTCAGAAGTGCACGCAGGTGTTTTAACTCACCTGTCTCATGAATTCCTTAGTGGTGAAGACCAGTTCGTGATAAATGAGCCAGCGGGGCTGCTCTTCAAACAAGGAGCTGTTGGGATGGATATACACTGTTTGCTGATGCTTGACTGTTTTGTAACCGCTGCGGGTTAGCCGTGCAGTGTGATAAAAGAAACCAGCCGTTATGGCCTATACAAACAGAGCAGGAAGGGACAAAAGTGAGGCAGGCAATGAAGGAAATGGATTGGTGGCTGAAATTACAGACTTGTTAAATCATAAATGGTTTTCATTTTTGCTTAGCATTTTGTGCGACTCCATCCAATATGGCTTATAAGTGACCAGGTTAGTATGATTTGTTCAATAAACCATGATTAATACATTTAAGTTGGATTCAGACTTATGAAGCAATGTGTGGAAACCAGCTGAGCCTAAATTAGTCACTACCAACTTTCAGTTTCAAAGGTTCTACTCTAAATCTGGATGTAACTCACTGTATGGTAATTTAAATAACACAAAATAAGCTATTTTTATAGCCTGTAGATTAAATAATGGATGAAAAGCAGTTAAAAAAATACTATCAATAAATAAACATTCAAAAAGTACCTTCTGCAAATATAGAAATCACTGGCTCTTATTTTTTAAAAAAATGTGATTATCTGTATGAAGGTTTCTAAATTAGGTGGATATGCCAAATACATATATACTTGTCTCAAGAAACTTTGGCCCCTCATGGAAATCCAGAGCAGAAGAAAATAACAGGGGCAGGGGTCTTCTACCTTGCGGATAGGAACGTAGTCCCCTTCGCTGGAAGTCATGTCCACCTCAATGCGTTCCATCAACCCTTCCAGCTGTTCTCGCACATCTCGAGCTCGCCTCATAGAACGAAACTGGATGAAATTCTCATAGCACCACTGCATGGAGTAACCGCTTTCCACCCACTGAGGGAGAAGGGGAGGAATTAATAGAAATCAAAGCCTTGCTAGGATTTTAAGTGAGGAATGCCATCCTCTCGGTGACTTGACTACAGTAATGAGTACAAGTAGTCCTCAACTTACGATCGTAATGGAGCCTGCCCATTACAGTCAGAAGTCATGACAGACCTTAAGTGAAGCATGTCACTTAACAATCCCCACCCCTGTTCTTCCAATGTGGTCGTTAAATGAAAGCACAGGCTGTTAAGTGGAGCATGGGGTGCCTCAGGTGAGGGAGGCCTAGTGCAGGCCCTGCTTTGGGTCTCTCACCTCCCTCACCCCCTAGGCCTAACACCTAACACTAACCACTTCAGTGGGTCCCATTAATAATCGATCTGTACTAGCTATTGTCCTCAGTCCCAGAAAACATTCTTTTTTACTTTGTACCTCTGAGAGTAGAACCTAAGGCCATACGAGCTTTGGAAAATCCCACACTAATATCCTAGAACTACTATAAAACACACCCACAGAAGAAGCAATCATTAATTGCCATTGTTCTGAATGACCTCTGCAATAAAAAAGCATTCAATAGAAGAGAATATAATTTCCCAACTACGTAACATCATCAGTTCTAGAAAGGAGTGGGGTTTGCTCCTTGTTTATACAGTAGCTTGCCCTGCCAGTTTTGATGGTGGGATGGTTTTCTCCTTGATAATCCCTTAGTTAGGTCGTTGTAAAAGGGACCTTTGATATACAAATCTACAATAAGTGCAAGGCTGGTAGGGATTTAAAAAGTCATCTAATGAAACTTTTATAGAAGAGGGAGTCAAGCTATTTTCCAAGGCGCCTGAAGGCAGAACAAGAAGCA